GATAATTAAAACAAAACTTGAAAGACTAACGAGAAGAACAAAAAGATAGAGTAAATCTTTAATTGTGATGAATGCAATCGGATGATATGCCATTGGGTAGCTTTTAATTTGTTCGTAGCGTTTGCATTGAGCACAAGTTTTATATAATTTGCTTCTTTTCTCAAAAACCGCTTCGAGTGCCCGATCAATTCCGTCAAGACAAAAGCCCATCTCAACGCAAGAATAGGTTGCCCGTTGTATAAACAGTTTCTTGCTTTTCTCGATATACTTGTGATAAGTCAGTAACCGTAAAGTGTTGAAATAACGCTGACGACCAACATGAATATAAAATTCATCAGTTTTCTTGACGTTAATCATAAAGTTGCAAAATATTCTCATGTAACCATTTATTGTATTTACCGAATCAATAAAGACAATTCTATCATCGAATAAATGGTCATAAATGTAGCTAAAAAATTTTTGAACATCAATTGTATCAATGCGACTTGGCAAAAGTGAATTATCCGCCATCTTAAGAGCACAGTACAAATCATGAAATGCATTTACAGGTTGAGTTGACTTGTTGAGATCATCCAAATAAACCAAAGGTTCATCTCGAGATTGACTTGAATAGTTGGTCGTAAATGAAGAGCATAATAATAAGAAGACATAAAAGACGCCAAAATAACAAATGGCCAAAACTATGAACCCAAACTGACCATCAATCAGCTTTTTTGTTATGCCTTTGAAAGGCCAAGGTAAACTTTTCTCACGAACTAAATGAATGTAAACTCCGAGCGTGATCAAGAAACTGATTAAAATGTAAACATTGAGGTGGATTATTTGAAAGCTGGTCAAGATTCCGGAATATTTTGACTTAACTGCAGTTTCAGTGTAAAGGTTTACAAAACCACAGTCTTCAGTGAACATCATTGAACTGAAACTCATGTTTTCTGGAATCAATGAAAAATGTTCCATCGTCTCACCAGGAAATGAAGCATCATTTAGGCCAGATTGAATTGACTGAAGAAAAGGTGTTGAACAAATGGATGAATGACAAGAGTCATTCTGATCGGGGTCACCACTAATCCATTCAATCGGTACTTTTCCAAGTGTAATTAATCCTAAGGTTTTCATGGTATCAAGTGCAGATTGATCTTGATCTCTTCCGCTATAAAGATCATGATAAATTAATCTCAAGGAGCCGTTGAAGGGAATATTCAATTTCATTGTTAAAAACCTTAGTTATTGAACACAGAGCTTGGACGAGTAATGAGGGATTGATAAGAGAACAAAATTCAATTTAATGATAGCTCCAACTTCAATTGATTGAACTGTTTCTATGTATGAAATTTTGTCGATGCAATCAGAATTAATGTATTAATGTTCATAAATACATTTATTTTGATCAAATCAATAATGATTTCGAGTTACAATTGAATTTATACTGTTGATTGGAGTGCTAAATGGAAGGATAAAGAACTGTTTTGATTGAATTTTTAATAGATTACATTTTTACCGATTTTCTGTTATTTATTAGTAATATTATTAACATTTGTAGCTGTTGAAAATCTGTTGGTAATGAAAGATGTAATTTACATGAAATCGTTTCACTTTAAGCATAAAAATAGCAAAATTTTGTTCGATTTAAATTTTCTGGCGAAACAAATGTTGACTAATCTTATTGAAGGTTGAGATGAAAGTTGCTCACTTTGTTAACATTTGTTGAAACTTGTAATGTTGCCTGAAAGAATCATTCATGAATGAAGTTTCAAGTTTCAATTAATCAACTAATTAAGATGGGAAAAGGTTCAACTGTAAATTATTTTAAATTATTGAATGTTGATTCTGAACTGATTTGGATTTTCATTTGATATTCACATGATGATTGGAAAACAAAATGTTAATTTAAATTGTAAATAGTCTAATTTCAATCAATTATTGATCTGCTGTTTCATTTCAATTTTTGACTCTTAAGTTTTCATTGAAATAAGATTCAAATTGTGCATTAATCTTGACTCTTGATTCAATTTTGTTTCACTTTTGTTGCAAGTATTAACATGAATTGAGAAAATGTTTTTGAATAATTTATGGATGATCTGTTCATTTATTATCAGTTTTTGTACTTTTCACATAAATAAGTAATCAATTTGAAAACAATGTTTTTGTACCTTTTGACATTTTGTTGTTCAATCAGGTAAAAATGATTGAGTCAAAGTTTTGCTCAACTTCATTCAATTTACTGAGACTTATTTGTTTGAAAACTTTCACAGTCGATATGGGAAAATGTTTATTTAACTTTATGATTAAAGGTGAGAAAAGTAATTTCATCTGGTTTATATTATTAATGCAATCATTTTGACTTTTGATTCATTGATTTCCATGAGATGATGAATTTAGTCTCATTATTAATGTTTTAATTACCATAATTGGAACCAATGTAAACAACAATTATGATGAAAACTCAATTATTTGCTCAGTTAACCTGTGGTGTAATTATTTTACCACAAATAAGTAGTTTATGAATTTCTTGCAGATTGTTCAGGGAGTTGAGGAGTTCTGTCAAGGCATTAGTAGCAATGGTAGGATTGAGTAAATCTTCATTGTAACTCAAAGCTTACTAGGCAAATTGATGAGGACTAACAAGGGAAGGGAACGCCGATTTAATGAGAGGCATCATTCGATTGAGCATGTTGTTCGAAGGGTTTAATCCGTGTGACGAACGATTCCTGAGGTGATTCTGTTTGGGATATGAGCATAGCAAAAAATAGCGTTTCTCAATGACTTTAGACAAATATTCTGAGAACTGTGAGAACATTTGAGAAGAGTTACTGGTTTTACATATTGCTTAAGATTTTGTCTAAACATTTCGAGAACTTGTCTAAAGTCATCGAGAAGCGCTGTAAAAAATTCAGAATATTTGCCAAGAAATAACGGCGAAGGTCATCAAAAGCTCTCTTATGGGTTTAGAATCGCTGGTTTATGGGGTTTTTTATGTCGATTATTTAGGTTCTGGTGTTTTCCCTAAAACCGTGGATATCTGAGATCTGAGGAACGCCATGAAAACAGAGATGAAAATAAACCTCGAGGCATACTACTTGCGAAGCTGTAGAGCGTTTAAGGATCTTATAATCCTTTGTGATAAGTGAGGGGAAAAAGCTTAATATTTAAGTAATTCAATGCTTTTATTATATAAACAATGATAATCGGCCAATTAATTGCGAAGGTATATGCGGGAATAAAGCTGCTAATTGCTGTGTGCGAAAGTCACTTTGCACTATATCTAGAACTTTTTTTTATCAAGTATTCGGATCAGTTTTTACCTAATTTACAGGAATTTTGGAATAAAGGTCATGCATTTTCATGAAAAAAACTATTTTATTAAAAGTGAAGATATTAAGCTATTAATAATACTTACAGTAATACATATAATAATATTAATACTTAAAGTGCGTGGTAAAGTGCTACGAAAATTAAAAAACTTCAGCAAACATGACCGTAAAACGTAAGTGTGAAAAGCGGTCATTTATGATATTTTCATTTAAGAACTATTTTTGAGCTTTCTTCAACTGACGGGCACTGCTTGCATACTACGTGCATATTATCAAATATATCCGACAATAACAATTAACAAAACCATTTTTCAATATCGCTATTACAGTCAAACCTCTCAAAATGAGACTTCGTGGGGATAGCTTTAGGGGCTATTTTCAAAGAATCAACTCTGAAAATAGATTTGGACTTCGAGAAATGTTCATAAAATGATTCGATTAAAGTTGTTATTAAACTAATGATAAATTCTTAGTCTTTGGAAATCTTTTTTCGTCATAATCGGTCATTAAATTTGTAATTTTTAATTAATTTTTAGTTTATTCATATTTTAATTAGCGGTGCAGCGTCTTTGTTGCTTAGTAACGTCTCAATTTAAGAGAGTCTCATTTTGAGAGGTTTGACTGTAGTTCAAAAGTTATTCATTAAAATATGGTTAAGTGACTCTTGCCCTTTCCTGGGCATCCATCCACAACTAATTGAAGTCCTATTGAGCCCTCGAGGCTTTTAAATGTTAATGCATCAACTAATTCTGAATAATTAAATTAAAAAGTGAGTTGAAAGGATTCATCGATTGACGTAATAATTTACAGAGAAATTTCATAGTCGCCATCTATTAGTTATTTAACGAGTGACAGAAAATTTATACATTTTGAAGCATTCTGTTTTTTTGGGAATAACTTTGACCTTAGTTTTCTTATAGCTTCCATTAAGATTAGCAATTGGGTCGCTAAAGCCAGCTTGTATCCCGGTGAATGGCCAGGCTTGATGACCATCATTAGACGAGAGTGTTGAATATGAAAGAACAGTTGACTGAAAACAGTGCCATCTCTTGTCAATGAAATGCTTGAAAACCCAATGAGTGTTGATGTTTATTCTCAATAGATGTCAGCACAAATGGTTTAAAACCATTTTTTACCATTGATGAAGTGCCATCTATTGGAGATATCTGTTGAATGGATAACGTTTAGATTAGAGTAACAGAGTAAACAAAAAAGGTTAAGCAAAAATCGATTCGGGCAATCATTTAATAATGAGAGGACGAAAAGAGCTTGGATGGAAAAGTTGATTAAATATTAATCAACAAATTCAATAGTCCATTATTTATCATGTTATTCTCTAGTTTCACCTGTATTTTCACCTCTTCTCTTTCCTTCCATTAATTTCCTTTCTTCACCCAAAAATAAAATGGAACCACTTTTAATTGCTCTCCTTGGCCTTTACCTGGCCCTTAACAGTCCAACAGAAAAACAAACCAATCTCAATTAAAGATAATTGTTAACTTAACTCAAAAGCAACAAACCGTTTATCCGCAACAACAGCCATTCTTGAAATTTAATCAAAAAGCAAAGTTGAAGCAATCAATGAATTTAACATGAAAATTAAATTAACCCAAGACAAGGTTTCTCCTTAAATTGACCTTTTATCCAGAATGAAAATATTAATTTGAAACATTTCCTTCTCTTTACCAGATTATCTGATTACACAGATGAACCCTGGTTAAACTGGATAAACTTTATTCGATCAAAATCCATTCTGGACAAATACGGACTGACCAATGAAGCCAATCCAGACAATTACGCTTCACTGAAAACAACGGCCGACTCTCGAGACTAACAGAGCCGGTCAACAACACACTCTACCAACTCTCATTTAATCCCAATTAGTGTGTGTTAACTCATATTGAGATGAAGCCAAGTAAATTATTTGAAACAAAAAACAAAATGTGAATCCAAAAATGAAAAGCAAAATTAGTTGAGTAAATAAAGAAAAGTAATAATTCTAACATTTTTTCAATCAACCATCCATTAAACTAATAAGTGTAAACTTGTCCCATCATCATCATGACCATCATCACAATCATCGACACAATCATTGATCATTTCAACCATTTCATGTGAAGCAAGAAACTTAATGTTAATAAAAAAAGGTAAAAACAAAATGCAACAAAAAAAAATTGAAAGAAAATTTTGGACCCAAAAAGAGAAGCAGAAAAATCAATCCAAAGTCCAAAGCTAATCGATCATTCATCGAAGAACCATTTACCTGTTATCATTATATTATCATTACTGTTACCAGTATTATCATTATTATCATCATCATTAGGAAGGCAACATATACAATGAACAGAGGAAAGGTAAAGAGAGTGAAAACTCGATAATATTGACTTGGAAAAAAAAAAGTTTTCCCAATAAATACAAGTTGAACATTTACCATGGAAACCAGGGAGAGAAGAAAGTGTTCAATCAACTTTACCGCAAACAACAACAATTGTTGCTTGTCAGTGTTATCATGATTCTCAGTCGATATCAAAATTGAAATAAAGCGCTAAATTGTTGCCCATTTTTAATGTTTCCTTTTTTTCGCTCTTCATTTTCTCTGTACTTACCTTGATTCAATTGATTGAGGTTAATAAGGTTAATTGATTAGTGTTACCTTTATCTGAATTATCTTTTTTTGGGTCAAGTTCGCTTCTCTCCTTTAATCCAATGTAAAAGGTAAAAGTTTCATATTTCAGTGAACATTGAACAATGAAAATAATGTCGAGTTAATCATGTTAATAGGAGTTAAATGTTGATAAAAGAAGCGAAAAAATGTTCATTGATTATTTGCATTATTGATTGGTTGTTAGTTGACTTGGTTAAAGTTGATAGATTTCAAATTGATTTAACAAAAAAAAGAGGAAAATTATTGGTAAGTTAATCTTTTTAAATTGGGTTACCTTTTCCAATAAAAGGTATAAAGAAAAGATGAATTCGTTTCTTCTTCCACCAGAATTGATCTTTTTAACCTTTCGACTCAAGTTTTCTCCCGCTTTTTATTCAGAGTTTCAGTTTCCTTCTTTCTCTTTCTCTCTTGATATTCAATTGAATTACTAAAAAATGCAAACAAGAAAAAAGTCAAAGAAAAACAGTCTTTTTTTTCTTGCATGATATTTATCAGGAATTGAAAGAAATGAGCTGAGAAAAAATAAAGTATTGAAATTGTTTGAGAATCTGCTTCATTCTCACTCTTGGCTTTCCTCACTTCCACGTAATTTGCATATTCAAAGGTAAAAGGAGCGAAATATTTGTTAATCTGTGAAACTTTCGATGAAAGTTGCAACTGAAAAGTTTTCGACTATTGGCTAATCAATGGATTAATCGACAAATTAAAAGAGTCTCATGAATCTTCAGTAAAATAAAAGTTTAAAGTTGCAATCAAAATATGTTGATTAGTTGAATATAACTCAAGATTAACTCAAGAAGACTCTTTATTTTGCGTCCAACAACTTTTGGTGAAACAAGTCGAAGAACAAACTAATTCTTGATCGCATGAGAATGAAAATTTCTATTTTTTCAGGAAGATTTTCCATAATTTTCATTCCTAACTCGCAATCTAAAATAAACTCTGACATGAGAATCCGGCCTTACATTGGAATTAGCAAATTGAAAGAGTCAGTCTGAGTTATCAACAATTTGAAAGAGTAAAGATTATTTCATGAAAAACTTGTACAGTAAAAGTTCGACAAGAAAAATGCGAAAATTTGAAAATAATTATTCATGACAAACTGGTAAGCAATCGCACCTCTAAAGCTACTGTTATGATTAATGGAACAACAGTAATCATGTTTGATCGAGCGAGACTCAGTCTTTAGTGAAAAAATTTGTAAGTTCACCACTTTCACCTGATTGATGTTATGCCAAACTCATGATTGAATATTTGCAGAGCAAGAAATTTATCAACAAGTCGAAGTATGGTGAGAAAATTTCTATTGGAAGACACGATTCCTTTCGAAATCTTTTCAGCTCTTTCAAAGTCGAGTTTAAAACGTAGAAATCGTCAACTCCAACAGTGTAAAGTTCATTCAAAGATAATTCATGACTTTTACTTATTTTTTCCAGTAAAACTTTCCTTTCAACCCAACAAATGTCAATCAATGGTATCAATAAAAGTTGGAAAAACGGTTTAATCGATAAGTTTTTTTGTTGCTGTAAAAAAAGATAGAAACGAAAATTGACTGGAAAATGCAAAATTTCAATCTTCTTTATTGATAATCAATAATCGATATTGCAATTAAAAGTATTATCCAAGAACGCAATGGTAAAATGAATTTTCATCATGAAATGTGGAAACGAAAAGGAAACTGTAAAGTAGTGATGAATGGAAGTAAATAAGTAATTGAATTAGATAAACAATTGTCATTTTTCAAATGATGAATAAAACAATATGAACATTATGATGAATGAAATAACAATCAAGTTTGATAAAGTTTCATTATCCAAACAAATTCATCAAGTTACCAAAGTTACTGTCAGTTACCAAGAGAATCAAATTAATGTATCGATTTGCCTCGAAAAGGTTCCATCAATACTGCATCATTTGACAAGGCAAAAAGACACAACAAAAGCGGCCAAAAAAAAGTTGAAATCTTTCAAAACTCCAACTGTTGGAAACTGCAAAATAAGCGACTTTCCCAAAATCCCATTAACTTGTAACACTCGATTGTGAAGAGAAAGTTATTCTCGGTAAAAAAAACTTTATAATTATCTAATGTTGAATGATGAATCTTTTGTGTGCTTTTGTACCTTTTGTACCTTATGTAAACCAAGTTGCAATTTTGACGGTAACGCCTTGTGAAGGACGCAAGACTCAAATGTTTCCTCTTGCCTTCGGAAATGAAAAGTAACTTTATCTCTGCTCTTTTTCCCTCACTGTAAAAGGACAGCCTTTTGGATAAATTGAAAAACAAAAACTTCCGGTCAACTTTGAAAAGTTCAAGCTTTTCCCTTTTCATCTTTTCCATTGTTTTTACTTTGGACCTTTGACTGTCGCTAACAAAAGCCTATCAACTCTGCCATCTTCATTAGTCAATCCCGAACTTAACCTTGCTTTAAACTGATGGAACCCATGAGAAGAAATTATAAAAAACGTAAAAAAAGGAAAAGGAAACTTTTTCCTTTGCACAGTAAAAGTCGTTTTAAAACATCGCCCTTCCTTGATGGGGAGTTGACTGTTACCTGCATTTTGGCGGCATGAATCACTGGATAAACATTCATCTCTTTACATTTTACAATCGATTTCATGGACTTTTTGCTCAGTTTCCTTTCGAGTGAAAACAGAGTGAAAATGTAATAAAAAGATGAAAATGAAAAATCAATTGCAACGAGTGTAATCCATCAATTATTATAAACCATTTTTACCTGTTATCATTATCATTATTGCTATCATGAAAGAAAAGGTAGAAAAAAGGAAGACACAAAAGTTTGGATAAGATGAGAAGAAGAAGAAGGTGAAAAATGGTGAAAAAAACAAGGAATCATGAAAAAGGGCAAACATGGAAACAAACATTTTCCAGTTTGCAAACTACAGTTTACCATGGAAACGAAAGTTTGATTGAAGAAGGAGCAAAAAAATGAACAGCCAAAAGTTCAATATTTTCAGTTTGATGTGAGTAAAGAGTAAAAATATAATAACAATAATAGTTGCAATAATAATGATGATAATGGTAAAGTCAACATTGAATGGCTTTTAATCATTTGGAAAGAATAATGAAAATTTAAATTTAACCTTGCATGGGATGAGAAAATATGAGAAATTATATCATTTCATATCCGGTTTTTGTGCTCAACCTTTTGTTGTCTTTGGTGTTGCTCTGCTTTTTTTGTCCTTAATTTCAATTCTGTTCAACATTCAACTCATTATCGAATCTCTCTCTTTTTTCCACTCTTTTCTCTTTTCTGCTTCTCTTTCAACTCAATCAAATTCAAGGTGAAATGGGTTTAATTTGAGTTTGCATTTTTGTCAGGTAGAAGGTGAACAAAAAAGAGTAAAAGTTTAATGAAAAGGTTTACAAATTTTTGTATCATTTTTACTTTTCTTTTGCTTTCTCTCTCTCTTCATGATGCAATGTGATAATATGACAGGTTTTCAGTTTGGTTCAAACTTGATTAATTTTTCTGTTGACCTCTTCAATCATTGTAAACTTCAAGTTTACCCTGTCAAATTGTTCAATTTATTAATACAATACATTGGTACATTGGTTGCATTGGAAAAGTTTTTTTTGAAAAAAAAATCGTTGATAACTTTGATGATAACTAGCTGGGAGGGCAATTGTTTCTGTTGACAAAACTAAAACTTTAATTGGCGATTCAATTTTAAACCTTTTGGAATGCTTTCATTTCTTTGATAACAGGTTTTACAGTTTAAATTGGCTGCTTGGAAAAATTTCAACAGATTTTTGTCCTCGCCATAAATTGCTTTTCAGGCTAATTGAAGTTTTTCTCGTTTCCAATCAATGGTTTCCAATCTTTTTTTATCATCCTTTTGGATGTAGTCGATGGTCAACTTGTGGTTGTACTTTTGATTAACTGCTAATTGAGTTTGATTAAAAATTTTTACCTTTGAAAGTTGATGTTGAAATGGTTCGATTGGAAGTTGATTGAAAACAATAAATTTACAGTTTAGAATAATTTTATTGATTTTGAACTTTTCAGTTTGATCGCTTGTGAGATTCGCTGGGATTTATGGTCGCTTTTTGTTGCCGTGAAATGAGTTTGGGTTTTGACTGAATTGGATCGAAATTGACAGAAAAGTTGAAAAATCGTTGAATGTCTGCAATTCTGTCACTTTTAATCGATCGATGTTAGTTCCGTTCCAGCCAAAAATGAAAGTCCTTGTAGTCGACTTTAGTCTAGAAAAAAGACATTTTAAAGACAGATAAAATTAAAAGAAATTCAGAGTTTGAATGTTGGTTTCACATCAATGATGAAACTGTTTTGAATCCATAAGCTTGATGTGATCAATAGTCGAGTTACCTTGATCCAATCACATGTAATGCTATTACACTTTCATAATCCACAAGAGATAGTTTATGCTACTCTTTTAAACTCATGTTTTTTGATGTATCGTGATAATTTGAAAACAAAATCTTGCTAAACTTAAAATGGCTGAAGATAGCTGAGTTTTGGTTTCGTAAAGATTTTCACGAAGTCTTCACCAAGTGATCAAAAATCCGTTCGGTGAAACAACTTGAAAACATGATTTTACCAACCGAATGAATCTCAAAGGCCACAGTTTTTTCAATTGAAAATTATGATGAATGTTATGATAAAGAGCGATGCTGAAGCTTTTTGTTTGAGTAAAGATTCATTTTTACCAGGATTGCTTTCGTTTGCGTCCAAACCTAATATTTACAATACTTTTCAAGTTTCAATAATTTGCATTTCAAGTTAAAAATTATCATCTTTATGCAAATTTTGGCCAAAAATGTTTGATATTTTTCCAGTTCATTTTCGATATGAACTTGAAATCAATCACGTTTGAGGCTCTTTTACATCATTTAAAGTTTACCAAAGTGAATTCAACTTTTACTTTACTTTCATTTGAAAGTTTATTGACCAGATTAATGAATGGTTATTTAAATGAAAATGTTTATAATTACAAAAACATTTAATTATTGAGGGAAAAGCAAAATTTACAAATGAACTTTTTCTGGATTTTGTTGCAATACATCATCAGGGTGAAAGTAAACACTTTATTTGGTGAAAAACATTTGATGTGGATTAATGATGCTCCTTTTATTAATGATATTCAAATGTTAAATAAAGTTATTCTTGATTCTTATCCATATTCATAACTAATGATAACTTGATGAGTTTAAGTGTAACTATGAATTGAGTTGCATTGTTACTGACTATCCAATATAAGATGTAAAATCGTAAACTTGTCGATTCGCTTCGAAGTTTCGTTGATTTTCCAGCGAAAAACCAACAAAAGATTCTCAACTTGTTTCTACTCGAAAGATGAGATAAGGTGAAAGACAACCTGTTTGTATTTGTGTAAACAATATGCATTTGTAGTTGCTTGATGAGTTTGACAGCACATTGTAGACGAACGAAACATCATTATTCTGGAAGAAGATACGATCTGAATAAAGTTAGCAGCATAAAAGATTTAAGAATGTTCAATGTTATCATTTTCCAAAAAGTGTCTTTTCTCCTTCCATTAATAAGGTAAACTTTATCCATTCAAGCTCATGTCAATCATGATGACTTCAACATTTTAATGATAAACATTTTTTCTTTGCAAAAACAAACCAACGAACAGTTTTTGAAAAAGAAATTTTTGAATTTTCGTCAAAAACTCACATGTAATCCATATTGAATTTGCTTTGTAAAGTGACCTTAGATTCGATTTTTTAGATTAATTATTGAGGCTTATCGATTTCCAAAGCTCATGAGATCGGATTAAAATGATTGAAATTCAGATCTAAGAAGAGGATAGCCTGATGTTGTTAATATCATTACGAGCTGTGAAAGATGCAGTCGTCTCATTTGGAGTAAATTACAGTTAAATTTGATCTGCTCACAATTAATCCGTTTATCTTGTGAACTCGAAGTGCAAGGAAAAAGCATGTAAAATGAATTTCATTGAAAGTAGAAAAAGCTGTTATTCCCTGTTGAAACTGATGATACTGTTGTCGATCATTCTTATCCTTGGCCCATTCAAATGATTGATTGAAATACTTTTCGGACATTTGCAGTTGATTAGTTATCTCTTTGATCAATCTTTTTCCAGCTTCTTACCTTTTGATAACGATACATTGTTTGGTTTACATTGATTCAGTATCGATCTCACAGTTTTTTGGTTAAAATTGCAAGAGGCAGCTATGTCGCAGCTGATATAAACACGAATCTCTTGGCTTTTCTTTTCGCAACTATTAATTGCAATTTCATTATTTGTAAGCTACTCACGCTGTTTGTATTTCATATGAAATCTAAAAAGTTTTTCACCTCAATATTTATATTCTGTGAGAAAATCTTTCCAGGTAAGGATCTCAGACCTGCTGTTTAAATGAATTTTTCGATTTACCAGATTTTTTCATGATCTATTTTTCTCTCAACAAATAAACTTACCCAAGCATTTAGCGCAATAATTAATTCCAATCAACGCTAATTATTGGAAAACACAATTCCTAGAGCCAGAAACTTTAAAGTTTTGGACTGAAGGAAAATTATGAACTTCAAGGTCATTCAAGGTCGTTTTCTTATCAGTAAATTCATTGAGAAATCGAAGATCATTTCTGAAAGCTCAGTTTTTTCTTAGTCTTATGATCTTTGCTCAAACTCGCTAGCTTGTGCAGTTGCGAAAATTTGTGAAAATATAATATTCCCTATTGAGTGACTTATAAATCATTTTCATTTTAAATGTCGGTTGAAATGCCCAGCACAGAGTTTGATAAAGCTGGAATTTTGCCCAAAAAAATTCGATTTGAAGTTTGAAATTTGAACCAATTCAACTAACTCAGCCACCGATCAAATAGCTCAAAATAAAAACAATTTACTTGATATTCTCAAGTGAGCTCACGATAATACTAATCCTAACATCTGATTTCCCCCTTTTTCCTCAATCTTTTAATTCCTTTTCCCTCTGAGCTCACCATTTCCTTACATTTTCAAGGTATAAAAACTCTTGATCTCCCAACTCAAAGACAGCATTTCCACTGGTCGAAATTGTATTTTTTACTTTTCGATTTTCTAAATAGACACTCATTCTGCTCTTTTAAATTTACTCTCAACATCTAGAGATATTGTAATATGTTGACTCTTATAACCCCATATGTCTACGTATAAGCTCTCAACAAAACTCAAACTCAACTCGACAATACACATTTTATGAGATAACCTTTCTCGAGATGTGACTATGAGTAAGTGCAAGAGTTGGTTAAAATGCCCTGAAATTTCATGACTAAAAAGTCGTTTTCATTCAAACTAAAGTTGAGCGAAAAAATTTCTGTAAATCATCGATAAATATCACAATAAATAATCGAGAGAGTTTTGTTTCCCTGGAAAGCAAGTTGAAGATAAATGTAGGAAAAGTGTTTTGCACATGAAACTTGTTTGAGGTCAGCAAAGGCAATTAATAACAAAATTGTTGCCTAAACAGTTTTCCTTACCTAAGCTGAACATGAAACATGCAAAAAAAGAGGTTGAATGCAAAAAGATATTCATGAAAAGATGATAACAATAGTTGATAATTATGTTGATAACATGACATTTCCTTTTCTGGTCCATTTTTGCCTCTTTTGCTCCACGAAAAATAATGAAACTAACATAGTTGATGCATTATTAATATTAATAATGATGTTGATCTAAAATTAGGGCGCAAATACCTTGCCATGTCCAATGTAGCCAAAAGTCGAGGAAAACAATTTGAACCCAGAAAAAAAATGTAGAGCAAATGAAAAGAAAGAATCGGAAAAATTGGCAAATTCATTGTCATGATCAATTTGAGATTTAAAAGTTGAACTAAATATAAAATTGAATAAATGAATAACAAGTTGATTGAAAGGCAACGGAAAATGTTAATAAAAAATGAATTTTACTTGTTTATCATTAGCAAGTACATTAAAAGTAATAATGATTTTCATTTAAATTTTTATTCTTCATTTTTTTCCAGTTTAATTTTGCTTCTCACATTTTATGAATGAATTGTTTCCATCCATGATAACTGAATTAAAGTTTTGAAACATCTTTTTTGGTAATTATTTTTCAATCTGATTTGCAAATTGATTTGATCATTATTGTTATTCTCATAATTATTATTATAATTATTATTATCATTATTAGTAATTAGTTATTATCATTATCATTAACATTATCATAATATTATTATTCAAATGACAAAAAAAGGAGAAGAAGAAGAAGAAGAAAAATGTAGAAAGAAAAAGTTTCCTCTTCTTGTACCCAAAACTTTTTCATCCTGTGAGCCGATTTGTTCAGAAGAAGAAGAAAGAAGATATGCTTAGAATTTCAATTTTTTGTCTTTTCTTGTTTTTTCCTTAATTGTTCAATCATGTAACATGATGAATATCGTCAGGTTTGGTTGATTGATGAATCACTATACTTTTGGTATCCAAAGGAAGAAGAAAAAAAAACCATTTTTTTGTTTCCCTTCTTTTGCTATGTTTTGGTCTTGATCAAGGTTTTGGTTCAGTTTGATTTGCTTCTTAATAATGATTTAATGAACGATGAACAATGAATAATGATGATGAGGATGATTGGTGATGATGATTGGTCAAGGTATCATTTTGATACAATATTAATACGAAGTAATGATAATAATGATGATAATAATTTCAACAATTGTTGATAGTAAATGTACAAGATTAAGGTCAAGGTCAACAGGCAATTGAATTATCAATTAACTTTCATTGATCAATTTCATCTCTTCTCTTATCTTCTTCTCATTTCCATGATTAATTTCCTTCTTCTCTTCACCTCGTTCAATATTTAGTTTCACGGATTACTAACAAATATCATCTTCAAATATCATTATCATTATTATCATCAAGTTGAAAATTATCATTTGTCTTTGGTTAGATACTATTACAGGTATCGCCAATGGGAGGGTTGAACAAGAGCAGGAGAGTAAAAAATATTTGTCATTGGATTGGGAAGGATCGGGAATGGTGAAGGTAATTGACAATCTTCCGTTGGACAAAGAACTGCTAATGATGGATGTGAGACTGGAGCTGGTGGTGATGCTTTTTGCTTAGGCTTGCTAACCTTTGTGTTGCTCCGTGCAAATTCAAGGCGAATAGTTTGCGGCAGGTCAGGGTCAAAACGAACACCAGACTGAAGGTTTTAAAGTGCCAAGGTTTAGTCGAGTTGTCATTCATGTTGCACCAATCGACAGCAGCCAACGGCCGAGGCATCAGCGTGAGTTGTGCAAGTGTTTCAAGTGTTAGTGTTTAGGTTTAGTTTTGTTTCAATAAATGGGTTTACAACGATCATCAAGTGTAATCACAGTCATTGAGTTGGATTTTTTTGTTTGGTTTCATCAAGTTTCATGTTTTTTTTGTTTCAGTGATTCAAGAGCAGCAAGTGAGAACAGGGTAATGTGTGAACAGTGAAGTTAAGTGATTTTCATGGCGAAGAAGGAAAAATTTTAATAAAGAAAATGAAAGCAAAGAGTTAGTTTTTTTTCATCATTTTTTAGTGGCGCAAGTGTTTTTTATCTCTACTGGGAATTTGCTTAAATAAAGTGAAAATGAGTAAAAAAATTATACTTTTTTTGCTCTTTTTGCATGCAGTTTATCCTCTAATCAAAACCTTGAAATGAACTTTTTTTGTTGCTCTTTTCTCTCTTTCTCTCTCTCTCTGTGTTTGCTGTTTAAACTTGAATCTTGCATAGTTGATGGGAAAAGGTTTTGGAGTAAAAAAAGGTAAATCAAATGGCAAAATGAAATGGAAAGGTTGAAATCTATTTTCAAAAATGGTTCACTTGATTCATGATCTACATTTATTTAGTTATTTTTAGGCTGACTTTTGCTTTTCGTTTAATCAAATTTAATCTTGAAATGAAGTGAACTTGCCGTACAATAGAGTTGTGACACCGAGAATACTGAATAAAGTGAACAATGGTAAAGATTAACAGAAAAGTAATCTTGAAAAGTACAACGCTTTTTCACCACAAAAATATTAGCACATCAATAAGGGTTGGGATGAGATTTGGAAATATTGCGACTTTTGTTGTCTAAAAAGTTAATCATTTACAGAAGCAGCAAAGTGAAAAGAAATTGAAACTCGAATGAAACTAAAAATTAAAACTTCGTTTCTTTTCATTGTGAAAAAATGTTGAAACTAACTCAACTTCCCATTGATTTTAAATTGAACAGAAACTTTTACATTCAAAACTATCATTTTCAAATCGATTTCACTTGAAAATCATTGAAAATCAATTTGATTCAGAAACTGATTCAATTTCCTTTTGATTTGGACAAAAATTCAAAAACTATGAGAAAAAGTCAAACGAAATTCGTCAACAAATCAGATTTTCTCAAATAAAGAAGTTATCTCTGCCCAAGTCGTGATTTTTACGCAAAAGAATGAAAAAGTAACATTTCTATTCAAATGCATTCCCTGTCGACCAGTCAAAAGTAAACTTAAGCACTTTTATATTACCTAAATGTGAATGTTAGTGTTTTTGGCAAATCCAAATTACAGTAAAGTATCTAGACTCGAACATTGATGGTATCAACCAATCATGCTACAGTTGAATGAGTTGTAACAGAAACTATCAATAGTCCGTTTTCGAGTTTTTCATTCTCAGAATTGAAGACCCAAGGCCATTAAGGTTCATTCGTTTATTTGGCTCTCAAAATTGAGAAAATTCGTTTCTTTCCCACGGCATAAGTTAGAAACAGGCAAAATACACCAACCAATCGAAAAAATGTGGCGCTCTCAGAACGTCTCACAAATGTCATTTAGAGTTCAAATAACTGGATGACCTTGAATGACTTTGAATCGATATTTATAATTCTTCAATTTGGGGAGTTCTACTGACGAAATATCAGCAAGATCTGACTTCTGATTCTCGAGTTATTGTCACAAACTTGCGTCAAAGATGAAAAACGCTCAGAGCACTCAGCCTGAAGACCTGTGAGGCATCCTTTCCTTTGAAATCAAAAATCTATGCTAGCGTCAAAATCTCGCCTCCAAAAATTCCCAGGTCGAAAGAGATAATCTCAAGAAACTTTTTTCCTCAGATACTAAAAATACTCCTAAATATCGATATGTATAACAATGTACCTGACCATGAAATATTTTTAGAGATTGAATACACAATGAACTTAAATGAACTTGAGACTTCGATTAATGGTTCTTCAATTCTCAAAAGCAAACAGTTCTATGATCTATCTAGCATGTTTAGTTCGCTATAAAGTGGACTAAAGGTGAAGTGTATGAGCTTAAATTGCTTTGTACTTTTGCCAATAAATGTTTTCATTTCGATTAATTTCTCTATGCAAAGTAAATACATTTTTGCTGTGAATTATTACATGTGTCAATTTGAAGCCTAATCAATTATCATTTTGAAATTAATGATTATCTTTCAAGATTAGATGAGAAACGTGATTAAACTTTTTGAACAGCTTAATATTATTACATTTGATATGCAATAAACTATTATTATCATCATCATTATCATTTGGAATTGGGTAAACGTAAAAGTTGATATAATATTTAAATGGTTATAAAAGCTGGTTCATGTAAGGCTATATATTATACAATATATAATAACATGTAAACTGGAGTTGATCAAAAATTCGGAATCTTAAATGTTTAATTATTAATAAGTAACCCCAATCTAAACATGAACATCACATTTCACCATTATTCTGTTTATTCCCTGAAAAGAAGAAGAAGAAGAAGAAGGAAAAAGATCTTGTATTCTTATTCTCTCCCCTGACGATGAGAATCTTTCATGTTTACCTTTTTACCTCTTCTTTTCACTTTTCATTTTCTTGCTCATCTTTATTCTCATCTTTCAACCTTTTCTGTTGCCTTTCACTTGCCTTCGTCAAACAACGAAACCCAAACCAACATCGAGAAAGAAAAATGTTGCTCTTTTTGTTTTTTTTCCAAAATTTCGTTCTGACAAAAAGCTCATCAACTTTGGTACCTGAAACTGGATCAATCCTTTTCACATAAATGATGAAAATGTTTTCTTTTTGCATTCAATTGCATTTTTCTTACTTTACATGAAAATGAAAAAAAGCAAATCATGAAAAGGCAAAAAAAAGAAAACAGAAAAAACGAAAAAAAGTAAAATGCTGAATAAATTCTCTAGTCGAGTGAAAAACCCTTTTTTCCCCTTTTGCCATTCATTGATTATTCCACCAATTGATTATCAGATGATTATTATCTTGCAATCTAATTTGTATTCACTTTTATTCAATTGTAATCAAAAAATGAAGATTATTATGTAAAGGCTAAAAGAAGTATTGAAAGGAAAATGCAAGTAAATGTTATTGGATTATATATTCATGGATTATTGTATGATTGGAATGATTAGATTGTGGCCGAGTTAATCAAGTGAACAAAGAGAATCAACAATTTTCATGATCAATCAAATGCAAGAATCAAGTTTCTTCTGTTTTCATTGAATTCGCCTATTCTTGCACTCATTTACACAGGTAACAAATTAATTGTGAAATGAAATTAGCGTCAAACTCTATTCAATTAACCAATTGACAAGGTATTGAGCAGGTAAAGAGAAGCATTAAGTGGACAGTGTTTATCATGGATTATTCAAGCAGATATTAACCTTTATAAATGTGCTGATGTTATTAGTAGTGAGAAAGAGAGAAAAGAAAAAGATCGAAAAAAAAGTAAGGAAAGGAAATGATAAGCTGATGAAAAGGTAACTCAATAATGACAAGTGTTGACAACTTACTTGAAGATCTTGTTTTGCAGCTTCAGCTCCGGCACGAGTTGAAAATGTTACAAAGCCAACAGGCTAAAAGAGAGAGAGAGAAAGAGAAGGAAATTCAAGGGATAAAAAAGATGATAACAGGGATTGAATATTGAGATGAAAAGTGTAACAAAAGTTGTATCTCTGTGAAGGTAAAAGTCAGAATGGAAACCTTAAGAGTTGCTTTACCTTTTTTGCTGTTGCTTCCATTACTACCTTTTTACCTTGCAACTTCTGTTATTCTGTTACTCATCTTCATCATCTTGTTAATAATTCTTTTCTACAGAAGATAAACATTCTCTTCAGTCTTTCCTGTATTTTTTTGAGAACTGTTTTATGAGTAATAAAAGCTCGTCAAGAATTTTATGAGAATCGAAATGAAGAATATGAGAGAAGAGAGAAAAGGTTGAAAGCTATTCTCAGTTTAATACACACATAATACTCAGGTGAAGGTAAATGATGGTTGAGAATGATGAAACAGTATGCTAGTGATGATGATGATATGGATGATAAGGATGAGTAGAATGATGAGAAAAGAGAGAAAAATAACTTACCGAAGATGTTTTCCCATTTTTGCTTGTTACTTTCAACAATGATCCTTCATAACCCTGGAATGATGTTGATAACAACCAGAAGGGAAGAAGAAGAAAAAAGAAGCAAAAAATGGATGATATTTTAGATGAGAAGATGTAGGTAAGAGAGAGACAAGAGAAAAGAGAGATAAAGTTAAATTTTTACTCTTTTCTTTCGCTTTTCTTCTTCTCTTATAAGATTTTTATCTTTTCCTTCTTTTGTGAGTTTTCATTTTTATTCCTAATAGTTTGACTCTCATTGCTTCCCATTAAAAAAAAGTATGGTTTAAAGATGAGACAAAATTGACTCTACAATCAATGGACAAGTACAATTGACCAAGTTGGGTAAGAATAAAAATGAAAACAAATTGAGGAAAATGATTGGTTTGTTGGACAAAAATGTGGAAAATGGGGAAAAATTTTGCCAAACAAATTTCATCATGAAAAGAGTTTCAACTTTTCGCCTTTTTTTAATCATTTCTAGTGTCACTTTTAGGCTCAATGATTATTGATTTTTGCCTTTACACTCTTTTCATGTTTCCATTATTACCTTATACGCTCTAAAGAGAAGGTAAAGTTCTCGAGGCTTTGCGTCCATTGGAAGGCCACTTACAAACAATGTTCGAACCTGGATAAAGAGAAGAAAAAATTGAGTTTTTTTGGCGTCAGAATTTTAAATTGTAAACTTTTCTTTTCAACGAAAAAAAGTGTGGAAATTATTCGAGTTGATAGAGGGCGCTGGTAACTGGGAGTTGAAGCTTATCATTTCAATCTTGATGTTTATGTTTGTCTGTGTTGTATCAAGTTATTTTTAGCCTTTTGATAAACTTTCTTTACCTTCTCCTTTCTCATCTTCTTTCTTCTTCATCATCATTTTCATCTTTTTACGACTAAACATTGACCTGGATTGGTGGATGAAATTACAGGTAAAACGGATCAACATGAGAAGGAGAGTGAAAAGGAGGAGTAAAAGTGAGACAGATAAAAGTTGAACCGAGAAAAAAACTGGAAGCGAAGAAAATGAGATTTGGTGGAAAAGAAACCAAGTAAAGATGATAAAAAGAAAAAGTGAGTAAAATATGCAGAATAAGCTATTTATTTGTTATTTATTTTTTTATTTCACTTTACTTCGTTTCCTACTTTTTCTCTCTCCCTTTCTCTTTGATTCATCTTTTACATTTTTTTATTTACTTTGTCAACTAATAAAAGGATAAATTGACATTCATGCCCATTTATATATATTTACCAATATAATGGCAGGTAACTCAATTAAAATGTTGTTGCGGTGAAAAAAACTACTCACGAAAACAAGCTTTATATTTGAAAGAAAGGAAAACAAATTACAAGTAAAAATGTGCTTTAAATTGAAAAATGAGGATTGGATTGAATTTTTATTTCAAACAATGCTCTGGTAGTCTAGTGGTTAGCATCTCTGTCTGCCGAAGAGCAGGTTGCAGGTTCAAACCTTGTTAAGTCACTTTATTCAAACCTGCGAAATGAATGTTACTCTTTCTAAATTTTAAATACTCTTTCATTACATCGTCAATCTGATTAAATAATCAGCCATGTATTTGTACCGAAACTATGCAGTAGAGAAGATCTGATAAATATTCAAGATATATCGATAATGGGAAATGGCAAGTCTTCGATACACCGGAAATCTCATTTGATTGAAATTGATCTAAAATTTGCTCAATTATCTGGTTTTGATCAGGCAGACTTGTTGCACTTCCTAAATGTTGAATAATTTTTTTGAATCTCGTTTACGAAAAAATTGTCGATTAATGGCTCGAAATTCAGCGATTTCGATTAAATCTGCTGCTAAAGTAAAATGTGTGTTGAAACTCGAGTAAGCAACAAGAGATGTATTATTTAAAGATTAGATTTGAATTTATCTGTATTGAAAATCCAATGAAATGTACTTTTATCAATCTCTACAGTTGATGTTTTAGCACAAAAATAAGAGCCTTGATCATGTTTCATGCAAGATTATTATTTGTCGCTCCATAGTGATGAAAGGAGAAGTTGAGAAGAGAAGCAAAAAATAATCTGTGATTTTCTGAATTCTTTAGAGATTCAACCGTAAAATGCTGAAAATAAAGTTTACACGATTGCTTTGAATTAATTTAAGATAGTGTCTCGAGTCACTGTATCAGAGCAGAAAAAAAGGTTAATGTGATGGATCCAACATTTAAAGACAAAACCTAGTTGAAGTAAATTTGTTGAAAGGAAAGGTTCAATAATTGGATAATCATTACTATACCATGAAAAGTAAACACTGTACAGAGACTTGTATTTAAAGTTGTGATTCACTGATAATTACAAACTACAACCTAATGTACTAGAACATTTGACGAGTGGAAAAAAAGGTTGACCCATTAGCGACCCCAGCGAATCAAATGTAGAGAAAAAAGTGTCCAAAAGTCAATTTCCTAGCAAGAATGAAACATGCAATTTCCATGGTAAATTGAAATGCTCCAAACTCATAAGATTTTCCTAAAAGGCCAAAATTTTCCACCAAAGTTTCCATTAATCATGAACAATTTGATAAATTGTCAACTGAACATTCGTTTTCCGTTCAAAGCAAAATCCAATGAAGAAAAAGCTAATCCTTGAATTGCATTACAAATGGAAACAAAATATTTACTTTACCGATTAAAATTTCAATTGAAACGGTTAATTTTTTTCTCAACATATTTTCATGTAACATGTTTCATGCGGTGACAGACTGGGTAAGGAGAAACTGATGAATGGTTAAATGGCTGAATATCTAATGAACACAGTAATGATAACCACTTAAGAGGAGAGGAAGAAAAAAAAGAGTCAAAGAGCAAAAGTAAAAGTGAATCAAAATTGAGCAAACTTTTGAATAACCCAAAAAGTAACCCAATAGTTTCACCTATTTGATGAAAAATGATTTAATCCGGTTACTTCTTAGTAATGCATAATTAAGCTTGCAGGTAATTCATTTAGTAGCAAAATGTAGACACGAAAAGAGAGAGAAGGCGAAAGGAAAAAAACGAAGACAGAAATGTACACTAATTTTGTCTCTTCAAATGTATTCAATGGTAAATGCAAAGTAGATTGTGATTAAAATGCAGTGATTAACTAATGGAAAAGTCTATTAACGAATTTAACATTTTTTTCTTCTCTCCACTAATTTTACTTCTTTCAATTGGGTCATCATTTTGCTGCCTCGCATTACATATGTAAAAGTTAATCACTTAATCAAACCAATTGTACATTTAAAATGATGTTGTTATTTGATAATGAATGTAAAGATGAATTTGATTATTTGAAGGAGAACGAGAAAAGCTGGTAAAGGGAACATGATGAGGCAACTCGAATCGAGTAAAGAATGAAGGGAAATTGATAAAGTTCATTTTTCACTTTTATATTCAACTTTTTTTTCCATGTGCATCATTACTCTAAATGTGTCTATTTGAGTCTGAAACAGTTGAACAGCAAGTTTAGTGGAAGCAAAAAACGACTTGGAAATGTGATTAAAAGTGAAAACAGAAAGTGGTTTTGGAAAACTATTTTTACTCCTTTCATCACTTGAATTTGTCAAAAATAATGTTTTACTTTTGACGATCAAAAGGAAAAGTTGTTGCTCGACAAAAATGGACTCATTATTGACCATTGCAATTGTTAACATTTCATGGTTTCCAGTCGACTTCTATGTAGTTGCAGTTGATTGACAAAGAAACCAGGAAAAACATTACTTTTGTGAAGAGCAAAGTCACTGGGAAAAAATGTTCATTTTAAATATACTCTCGTCGTATCATCTTGAATATCCATTGTAATCGAAACGAAATGTTCATGTTTTTGGCTTTCAAAGTTTACTCTAGTTTTTTTTCCTTCCCTTGCAATATTGTTTACTCTGGTTTGAATGAGGAACAAAACTGATATTCAATTTATCATCAACTTTCATTTTTCGATTCTTTTCTCTTTTTACCTTTTTCCTCTCTTCCATTCAACATTTTCAGTTTTATCTTCATTCCAAAATCTGTTATCTCTTGTAAACCTTGCAATCGATTGATTATATAAATGATTATCATTGTAAATCATTTGTTATTGATAGTCACGTTAGTTTTGCCAGTTTACGTTATTGTTTCAATTTTACTTCATTTTACTTTTTTTTTGCTCTTCTTTTTTTTACGACTCATGATATTATCATGATTATCAAGTTAATGTCCAAATGATGAGAGAATCAGATTTATCTTGATACGCCCATTTCATGGTCTATTGAATATCATCTGTGAGCGAATGAGAGCAATAGAAAGGAAATAAATCCCTAGTTTTGAGTTGATAAATAAATATTCTGTAAATAGAGTTAAAACTGAAATTCTCATGAGAATTGGATGAAAATGAGAAACAAGGTGAACATTTTTGTTCCGTTTCAAAATTCATCACAACGAATCATTGAACGAATAAAAAAGTTTTCTCGTTTTTTTAGCTCAATAATTGCACTTCTAGCCAAGAGTCAACTTAAGCTAATTGACTTGATTATCATCTTGTTCATGGTTTACACCAATCTGATGTTCCTATAGATTCATGTTTCCATTGAAGCCTCACTCGGATAAGAGAAGAAAAAAAATGATTCGATTTTTTGACCAATTTTGCCATTCTTTTGCTACTCAAGGGTTTCATTGGTTTTACCTTTAAACATTTACTTGTTGTGATTCTAATCTTTTAAACCTTATTAATGAAATTTGAATCTTGCAAGTGACTTGGAAATGTTAATGAAAGGTAATGCTCAAGTAGACGAGTTAACTTCACCTTTTGTTAACTCTATTGATTGAAGATGAATTAAGTTGTCATCATTATCTGGATGAAAGGCATGCTTTCCTCTGTTACCTTTGCGTCTAAACATTATTCATGATTCCTTTCAAGTTTTGGGAAACACACATTTATGGATCATCGATAAGAGCTTACTGTGCAACATTAAAAAATTAACCTCAAATTAAGTAGTCAGTGAGCAAAGTCGAGTTTTTTGTTGATCGAAAAAAAAGTTGCACAGTTCTTGCAAAGAATCATGAGATGAATATTTTTGTCTATTCAAGTTTGGAATTTGCAAAAATTTAGAATTTTTGTTTGCAGAATTTCATGGTTTGAATAACTTTTTTTTTGTCAAAGTGAATTATCACAAGTTTAGTGTAAACATGGAATCCATCATAAATGATCATTTCAAGTTGCTCAACATGACAATGTATTTGATTAAGATTTTCAAGAGAGAGTGAGAAATGAAAGATTCAGCAATTCTCTCTTTTTGGTGTTTAACCATGTAAAGATGGAGAAATGAATAAATTTGAAAACTAAATCATAATTGTGTTTGTTCATTTTCTGGTGAAGCAAAATTTTTGACCCAAAAATTGCAAGGTAAATGGAAGGAGAAGAGGTTGGAAAATATCGATTGTCCAGAAAAGTAATGACATTAATCGAGTTAACTGAATTGTATAAATTTTCCTCTTATACAATATTCAACTTTTCTGGTTGACTAATCAATGAAAATTTGTAATTCCATTAACAGGAAATTCTTTGTTTTCAGAACATCCAAATTGCTGATACTCACAAAAGGTTCAACTTTTATCGCTTTTGGTGGTCACTGAATCATTGATTGAACCT